CCCATCCCCCACCCCATCCCCCACCTCACCCCGACCTTCCCGGCTTTGCAGGAAGAGCTTGCTGTGAGCACTGTCACCCCAGCTAAGGACGAGGGTGAGGAGCTCAAGAGAGAGGAGCCAGAGGACGAGGATGTGGACGACGATCGGGAAAGGGTGAGGCACACAGCACCAACCACTTCCCTGAAGTGCCTGCAGCTCTCATGCTTCCCCACCATCTCCTTCCAGAACCTTCCATCACCCCAGTAGGAAGCCTCATGAGCAGTCTGCCACACCGCTTCCTGACCCCTGTCGCCCTTGAATCCCCTTTCTGTCTCTGGACTCGCCTGCTCTGCGTATTGGCTGTCATGGAGTCCCACACTAGGTGGCCTCTGTTGTCTGGCTCTCTCATTGAGACACACACACCCCCGCCGCCTTTTTTTTCCCCAAAGATTATTTTAACACTGGGTGGCAGTGGCGCACATCTTTAATCCCAGCACTCGGAAGGCAGAGGCAGGCGGATCTCCGTGAGTTCGAGGCCAGCCTGGGCTACAGAGAGAGATTCAGGAAAGGCTCCAAAGCTACACAGAGAAACCCTGTCTCAAAAAAAACAAAAACAAAAAAAAGAAAGAAAAGAAAAACCAACAAAAAGATTATTTAAGTCTGCCTGGTGTGGTGGCTAATGTCTAAGAAACCCCGTCTCACCCCCCCATAAAAAAGCTGATTTTAGTTGTGTTTGTGAATGTTACTCCATGGGTCCTGGGATCTGAACTGAGCTTCTTCAGGATTGAGCAGCAAGCACTGTTCACCACCACGCCATCAACCCAGCCCCAAGCCCTGTGGTTTGGTTTTGGGTGTGTGTGTGTGTGTGGTTTTTCTTTTTATTTTATTTGCATTGGTGTTTTGCTACATGTATGATTGAGGGTGTCAGATCTTGAGTTATAGACAGTTGTGAGCTGCCATTGCCATGCGGGTGCTGGGAATTGAACTCAGGTCCTTTGGAAGAGCAGTCAGTGCTCTTAACCACTGAGCCATCTTTCCAGCCCCATGTGTGGTTGTTCAGCACAGGGTTTCTCTGTGTAGTCCTGGCTGTCCTGGAACTCACTCTGTAGCCCAGGCTGGCCTCCAACTCCGAGATCCTCCTGCCTCTGCCTCCCGAGTGCTGGGATTAAAGGTGTGCGCCACCACCTCTTGGCCACTCCATGTTCTTGAAGTCACTCCATGCTGCGTTGTGTGGGAGCCTTGCTCCTGTGGGTGGCTCTGTGATGCTCCAGTGTGTGACTGGTCTTCAGTCTGTCATCCAGCCATAGACACTGGGTTGTTTGCCCAGGTGGATGTGAACATAGGCATGCCTCTGTGAGCGCTCCTCCTCCTCCTCCTCCTCCTCCTCCTCCTCGGTGATGTGGCCGGGAGAGCTGTGGTCCCATGCGGTGACAGTCTCACTGATCTGTCCACCTTAACCCCCTGCCCTCCGAGCGGCTCCTGCCCTGCCCTGTCAGCCCCAGGGTCCTAGCTTTGCTGTCCCGCCTGCTCCCTTCCTGCGGCCCCCACCGAGTGACGTGAGGGACAGTGGTGACCGGGCCTCTTGCTGGAACAAGGGCCTGAGCCCAGACTCTGCTTCAGAAATCTTCCCGGCACAAGAAGAAGAAGCACAGGAAGGAGAAGGAGGAGAGGCCACGAGACAAAAAGAAAGCCAAGAGGAAGCAGGTGGCCCCGCTGGAGAATGGTGCGGCGGCGGCAGAGGAGGAGGAGGAGCCCATCCCGGTGAGCATGCGCACCACCCTGCCAGCTCAGCCTGGAAACATGGCTTCCGTCCAGAGAGAACCAGAACCTCTGGAAACTGTGCTCTGTGGTGGGAGCTGACACCGCATGGTGGTGGCTCTTGCTCCTTGTGAGCCTGTCCCTGTCCCATGAGATACCTGTGATGGCCAGGGCCCTGTCACCCACAGCTGACGCTGTCTCTCCTTCCCCAGCCCATGTCCAGCTACTGCCTTCTGGCTGAGAACTCGTACATTAAAGTGGTAAGTGACACTGGGCTGCCGCAGGGGGATGGCCATTGCTGGGGGCAAACCACCGCCACTAGAAGCCTTGCAGGGCTGGCGCCTGTGGCCAGCAGCCCGGCCACAGCTGCAGAGCCCAGTGTGGCCAGGCCACGTGAGGACAGCGTTGCTAACGGGACCAAGCGGCCATGGCAGCATGCACATTGGGGCGAGAGGCGGGAGGATTCCAAGTTCAACACCAACCAGGACCATATTGCAAGACTTTGTCTCAAAGAATCAAATAGAGAAGGGCTGGTGTAGCTTCTTGAAGAGAGTGTGGAGTGTGTGTGGAGAGTGTGTGGAGTGTGTGGAGAGTGTGTGGAGTGTGTGGAGGCCGAGGTCCTGAGGGCCCCAGGCAGCCCTCACAGAGCAGCCACTGTCCTTGATATTGGCCAGGAGCTCACTCACTCCCCTCAGCTGGTCCCTGGTTCTTGACTCTGCCCTTACTCATGCAGACTTACGACATCCAAGCCAGCCTCCAGAAGGACAGCCAAGTGACAGTGTCGGTCATCCTGGAGAACCAGAGCAGCAGCTTCCTGAAGAACATGGAGCTCAACGTGCTGGACTCGCTCAACACCAAGATGGCCCGGCCGGAGGGCTCGTCGGTGCATGACGGTGTGCCCGTGCCTTTCCAGCTGCCCCCTGGTGAGCTCGCCCGTGGCCCTAGCGTTCACAAGGCAGCCTGCTCCTTCCCCTTGTTACCTGGGCTCCTGCACAAGGAACTTAGCTAGAGCTTCCGGGGACAGCTGAGGCCCGGGACAAGGCTGGGGTCTAGGGCCAGCAGAGGGAACCCACCGTTTCTGTGACTCTCCAGCATCCCACCAGCCGTGACACCCTAGAGTCAGTGCTGGCTTAGACCCCGGCCCTGCTGAGTGCCGGGTCCCCCCCCAGGTGTCTCCAATGAGGCGCAGTTTGTGTTCACCATTCAGAGCATCGTCATGGCTCAGAAGCTCAAGGGCACGCTGTCCTTCATCGCCAAGGTAGGCACTGGGCAGCGGCCATGGCCAGTGCTGAGCCCACTCTCCCCCGGGCTCCAGCCCCTTTGCCCTGCCCCGGGGTGTCAGGCACCCCACAGCTGCAGCTTCCCTTCTCACAGGACGACGAAGGGGCCACCCACGAGAAGTTGGACTTCCGGCTGCACTTCAGCTGTAGTTCCTACCTGATCACCACGCCCTGCTACAGGTGTGTGTGCCTCCACCCCCCCAGAGCCTCCCGGGGGGAGGTGGGGGGTGAGGTGACCTCCAGAGACAGTCTGCTGCTTTCTCCCGAGGCCACATCTTCCCTGCTCTGTCCCCGGGACCGCCCTGGGTGCCGGATCCTGGTCCCCTGCACACCCCAGGCTGCCTTGGATCCCGGAGCAGTCCTCTGGCCTCAGCATTCCGGGGCAGGGCTGGGGTACAGGCCTGACACCCAGGCCCGCCATCACCCCGTTCTCTCCTCCACAGCGATGCCTTTGCCAAGTTGCTGGAGTCAGGAGACCTAAGCATGAACTCCATCAAAGTCGATGGCATTAGTATGTCTTTCCAGAACCTCCTGGCAAAGATCTGTTTCCACCACCATTTTTCCGGTGAGCAATGTCACAGTGACAGCGGTTCCATCAAGTGTCACAGGAGCCACCCTGACCCCAGTCAGTCCCTTCCCACCCAGGGCCTTCCCCTCAGCCCCCAAGTGCCGTCTCCCATGGGCCCCAGCCCTTGGCAGCCCGGGAAGTGTGGCCTGACTCCCCATCTGTTCCAGTTGTGGAGCGTGTGGACTCTTGTGCCTCCATGTACAGCCGCTCCATCCAGGGCCACCATGTCTGCCTGCTGGTGAAGAAGGTGAGCTCAGAGCGCGTCGGCTGCTCCTCAGGGAGAGGCTGAGCCTGCCTGTCGGGGCTCCCCCACCCCCACCCCCGTTAGACCAGGTCCCCCTGGGTGAGCCGGGCCTGAGGAGGGCAGGGCGGGCTCAGCCTGTCTCAGGCCCGTGGCGGGGTGGGGTGCGCAGCTGCCTGCCTGCCGAGCACTCCAGAGGCCGAAGCAGAATCAGAGATCCAGGCCAGTTGGGGCATTTGGGTTCAAAACTCCAGTGAGGCCTGGGCCCCGGGTGAGGGAGGAGGGCGGCCCTCCCCACAGGCCTGGGCAGTGTGCTGTGGCCTCCAGGGTGAGAGCTCCGTGTCGGTGGATGGCAAGTGCAGTGACGCCATGCTGCTCAGCAGCCTGCTGGAGGAGATGAAGACCACGCTGGCCCAGTGCTGAAGGAGCCCGGCAGAGCAGACGGCCGCCACAGGCCTCGCCTCCTCCTCCTCCTTGTCCTGTGTCCTGTGCCCACCCGGCATTAATGTAACGCCCGCCTCCACTGTGTGACCCGAGGCCCTGTGGGGCATCAACTCTCTGTTACCCTCTTTGTTCTGCCCTTGCGCCCCCTTGGCAAGGAAGGCCATTCCAACCCAAGCCGGCAGGGCTCCCCCCAGGTTTCCAGCAAACAGCGGGGCTGATGTGGCCCCACTTGTGTGCCCCCATGCCGCCTCTGGAGGGACTGACTGGAGGTGTCTGGAGGGGTGCCCGGCCGGCTCTTAGCACCCTTCTCCCCGTCCGCGCGGCCAGGTGGCTGGAGTGTGCTTGTGGGTCAGCTTGGCTGCTGGCAGCAGGGACCGCCCTCTGATTTCTGCTCTTCAACAGAATTCGGGGGTCTGTCTGGGGGTCCGTGGAGGGGCGCAGTCCATGCCCTCAATCAGTCACTACACATGGGGTTGTCCCTGCGCTGGGCCACAGCTGGGGAGGCTGAGGCCCTGCAGTGGAGACCGTGCATCCTGCGAGCACTCGGTGCTCACCAGCCGTGCCCGGCAAGGGGAGCGGAGCCCAGCCTGGCCTCTCCCTTCAGCTGGGTCCTGCCACAAGCCGAGCCCTCCTGAGGTGATGGTGGCCGTCCTAGGACTGCTGTCACTGAGCATGCCGAGAACCGTTACCGACCCCACGTGACCTCCAGCTCTATGATGTTCCATGATTGATTTGCTGTCGACATTCCCATGTGAAGAGAGATATCACGCTGCTGACGATCGGTGTCATGATGACCCAATAAAGAGTCGCAAAACATGTTTGCCTGTTGTGTCCTCAGTACTGCAGAGCAGTCGCCAGTGTGCCGTTCAGGCTCCTAGGGCCCAGGTGGGACAGCGAGTTCCCCCAGCCGCCTCCTGTGGGTGCTGTCACCCTCATTAAGTACTTCCGTGTGAGCATGAGTGCAGCGCCACAGGCCAGGCCGCCCTGCGCCATCGCTTTCCACTCTCAGTGCTGGCCTTCAAATCTGGTCCTTGGGCATGGGCAGCAAACGCTGTCTATCACTGAACTGTCTGGCCATTCCTCCTTTTAAAAAAGACTGTTAGCCGGGCGGTGGTGGCGCACACCTTTAATCCCAGCACTCGGGAGGCAGAGCCAGGTAGATCTCTGTGAGTTAGAGGCCAGCCTGGGCTACCAAGTGAGCTCCAGGAAAGGCGCAAAGCTACACAGAGAAACTCTGTCTCAAAAAAACAAAAAAACAAAAAAAAAACAAAAAAAAAAGAGATTGTAAAATTATATCATGTAGTGGTGGTGCACACCCTTAATATCAGCACTCCGGAGGCAGAGGCAGGAGACAACCAGGGCTACACAGAAAACCCTGTCTCAAAACAAAAACATGAAGGTTACCATCACGTCTCTGTCTACCATGTGTACATCTTGTGCCAGGAGAGGGCGCTAGGTTCCCTGGACCTGCAGCTCCCGGTGGTGGGGTGAGCCGAGCCCTCACACTGAAAACCTGGGCGCTGCAAGAGCCCCAACTGCTGAGCCGCTTCTTCAACCCCCAAGCCCCCCCCCTTTTTTTTTCCTTCATCTTTCAAAAGACAGGGTTTCTCTGTGTAGCTTTGCGCCTTTCCTGGAACTCACTCTGTAGACCAGGCTGGCCTTGAACTCACAGAGATCTGCCTGCCTCTGCCTCCCGAGTGCTGGGATTAAAGCGTGCACCACCGCTACCAAGCCTTTTTGTTTTGTTTTGGTTTTGAGACGACGGGGTTTCTCCATGTAGCCCTGGCTGTCCTAGGACCCCTTTAAAAAAATAAAAAATAAACAAGCTTTCTAATCAACTTCATAAAAAGTATCCTTGTAACTGAACTTCGGCCCACTCGCCCAGCAGGTTGCAGGTGATGGGTTCACATTGTCTAGGCTCAAGGATGGGTGGCCTCTGCACGCCACAGGGTCTGAGTGACAGCAGAGCTTGCTTGGCAGGAGGTAGGCGCAGGTCAGGTGGGTCAGCTAGTTAAGGTGGTCTGCAGCACTGGCTGAAGGTGAACCCGAAGCACGGTCAGGTAGGGGCTCCCCAAGAAAGCAAGCCCAGAAAAGCTGCTCAGCCTGGGAGCCTGACACCTCAGTGCGCCAGGGCCGGGCCAGGCAGTGGATGCCCCAGGTCTGTCTGTCTGTCTGTCTGTCAGGAAGGGCTCCCTGTTCAAGTCACACTGGCACAGCTTGAGGCTTCAGCTGGACATGGAGAAAGCAGGCTGACCTGGCCGCAGCCCCACAGGATCCACCCATCCTCCCTCTCCAGGTGCTGGTGTCTAATGAGGCCCTGTGGGGGACCCCTGGCCACCTTCCACGCGAGACCAGGAAGCACAGCCCTTCCCAGCTTCTGTCCCCAAGGGCAGTGTGCAGGGAGTCAAAAAAAACGAGGCACTGACGTCCAAACAAACTGGCCCAGGGGACCCAACTGAAGCACACGTCCCTTCTTAAAGATTACAGCAAAATGACAGGACAGATGTGGCCCCCTGGAATGAGTCCTGCCAGCACGCCACCCAGCAGCCAAGTGCTTGTTCCCACCGGCAGGGCTCTGGGGCTCTCCAGACTCCAGCTGCTGTCACTGTCACTGAGAGGGGCCGGACGCCCTCTGGTGCCTCTGCTGGCCTGGTGGCCTGTTCCACCACACTTGCGGCCAGCGACCTGCTCCAGGGCCGGGTTGACTGCATTGGAGGCTGTGTCTGCTGTGGTAGTGGGGCTGCCCAGTAGTTCCCGTGGGCAGTCCAAATCGAGGGTGCAGGAATTTACACGAGCGTCCTTCGGGGCAGAACCCCACGAGGAAATTCACACACACGACTCTCTGAGTATGCCGGTGCCTGCACAGGGGACCACGCTTACAGAAGCCTCAGTCACACCAAGGGCGGTCCTTGATCTTGGACTCAGGGTCGCCGTGCAGGAAGGGGCACTCCTTGTTGCCGCATGCCCCGAACTCACGCATCTTGGTCTTGTCGTCTCATGCAAGAGCTCACACTGGCCCCCTTTCTTGCACAGACCTCCCAGCCAGTGTGGGCACACAACCGTCTTCTCACCACTAATGTGGCGGAATGGACACGTGTCCCCTTTGCCGCAGGCAGCTTTCAAGAAGAATTCACAGACGGCAGCCCCCGACTTATCCATGCCAGGGAAGGGCAGTGGCTGCGCCCCGAGGTCTGCTCCACGGCGATCTCCAAGTTGAACTTGATGTGGTCCACGCTGGCGATGATTTCCTGCATGACAAGGCATGCCAGGCCTAGGACCCTTTCTTACTAACTGCTCCTGAGGCTGTGAGGGGAAACGGGATCCATGTCGGCTGCTCACCGCCACCGTGTGGGGACAAGGGAAAGAGTCACTTGTCAGTCAGCAGACACTGAGCCCTGTCAACTGCAACTTCCAAAATGCTGCTGGGCCCCAGGCCCCAGCCAGTGCCCCGAGGCCACGCCTCTGAAGTGCAGTGCAGTACCCTGTCCCAGTGCTCGGCCCTGGCCAGGACCCAGAGAAGTCACCCTGTCAGCCGTCGGCGCACAGAGCGAGCCTTGCTTGTGCTTTGTGACTGGCCGCTGACTGCAGCTTGAGCTCCCGACACGACCCCCAGACCTCCAGCTGGCGCTGCCCTACATCCCAGTCCCTCTGGAGGAAAGTCGTTAGATGCTACACTTGGTGCTCCTTGTCAGAACGCATCCACGCTTCCTCCCCTGCAGCTGCGCTTATGAGCAGGAACCCGGGGACATCCACGGAGGCATGCACCCGTCAGCGGGGCCAGGGAGACCGGGCGGGGGCAGAAGTCCCTGGGTCTCCTGCATCGGCCACCTGCCAACCCAGCCAGCCAGCCCGGCTCTGGTCCCCGGCTGCCAGGTGCTCTGTGTGGTGTGGCCCACCTGTCTCTTCTGACCAGGAAACCCCAGACACACTAGCCGGGCCCAGCTTTCACCCCACTGCAGCGTCCACCCTGAGGCAGAGGTAGGAGGTCAAGGCCAGTCTGGGCTATAGAGCGAGACCTTTACCTCAAAGGTGGGGAGGGGCAGGACTGGGCTCCATTGTTAACACCAAAGCCAGGCGGCACAGCTGTTATCCCAGCAGTAAGGAGACGAGGCGGAAAGAGTTCAAGGACTTCCGCTACCTGGCACGCCCCAGAGCTCCCGCCTCAACAAGAACAAACCTGCCCACAGGCACTCAGGAGTACCGGGATCAAGTACAGCCCGGCTGTTTGTCCCTCCCTCCGTGGGTAGGAGACGCGGCTCCTCCACACCCACACGGCTCCTCCACACCCACGCGTGTTCAGTAAAAGCCCGTGCCTCCAGCTACGGCAAATACCCAGCCGGCTCTCCCGGCAGAAAAGAACTGTTCTTCCTGAGAAATGTGAGAGCACTTTAATCAAATTATCTCTGGGGGCCCTGCCTGGGGGCCCTGCTATCTATACACAAGCCCATCTCCCAGCCCTCCCCTGCCCCGGCCCAGCCTGGGCTCCGCAGGGGTGACCCCAGGCAGGCAGCGGCTGGCCTCTCCCAGAGGAACAGGCCACGACAGTGCAGTTGAGTCCTTGGCCCCCGCCCAGGCTGGGGGCAGCAGCCACGGTCAGTGCTGGGTCAGACACTGAGAAGCGTTTTCCAAGGTCAGGTTAGCCAGGTGCGGCGGTTCCAGACACTTTATGGTCGGTGAAAGGCTTGGGGGGAGAGGAGGGGGTGCCTTGAGCCCGCTGTCTGACCCCCCCCCCAATGCTCCCACCTCCCTTCCCAGGCTGCCTTCCGTGACCTATTACTATAGCCCAGGCTGGCCCGCTAATTGAGCTCTTCCTGCCTCAGAGGCCTCCTGGAAGGCTGGGATTTTATGTATGCACCCAGCCCCTGCCTGTTCTTAAGTCCTAAAGAGGGCTAGGGGGTCATCCACCCTCCCCAAGCCCACAGGGACAGGCCTTAAGAGGGTCTGGCAGGACGTTGGGGTGCTGTGCTCCCCCCAGGCCACCCGACAGTGTCATTCCCCAGGTCACTCACAAGGCGGGGATGGTTCTGCACATCCAGGCAAGGCCGCGGAGGAGGACAGCGCGGTTCATGCGGTGGCCACACAGGGGGATGGGATTACAGCCGTCCAGCGTGCCCGCGGGCACAGCCCTGCCCCGCATGCCCTCCCCAAGACCTCCCCCCCATCCCTCAACTCCCCCACCCCCCATGGAAGGCCCGTCTTACCTCCTGCCTACATCCTGACTGAAATAGAATGGGGCCCCAGTCAGACCCTCTAGGTCTGCCACCAACTCAGGGCAGCCCTGCCTGGGCTTCAAGAAGACCCTTCAGCCAGAATGGTCTGCCCCCTTCCTCCATCTGAGCTGGAGACCCTTGACGGGGCAGGAGCGAGGTCCTCCTGGGCCTCTGTAAGCTTCGAGACCTCACCGTAAGGTGTGCGCGCACGCGCGTGCTCACACACTGTCTCGGATAAAACTGGAGATGGATTCGAGCAGGAACTTACTGGTGCCAGGCATGTCTACAACGACAATTTGTTTGGAGTCAGGGGACCAAGTGTCCCCTTTGTGTCCCCTCTCTGAGTCCTGGTGCCCAATAAACCCCGGCTCACATGTAACTCAGAAGACCCTGGACAGCTGACTGCCACTGTGCCGATGACCTGGGGGGACACAGGGCTTGCTTGCCGGTGGGCTATCGCCGAGGCCCAGAACCCCTTGCTGCCCGGGTGACGATCCCAGGACCCCAGGGGCAGTGGGGTAGGTGGCTGAGCCATACTTGCAGTAATAGCCAAAGCAGATGACGTGCGAGTCTGTGCAGTTACTGCAGGAGATGGTCTCATACTGGAAGATGCCTGCAACACACCAGAGGCAGCCAGACTTCCCCGGGCCCCCCAGCCTGGGCCCCGCCACTGCGGCCCTCAGCCTGGACCATGGGTCACTTACCACAGTGACGCTGACAGTCGATGCGGCCTGGGGGGAGGAGGGGGACACAACAGGACAGTGTCTTCTGACAAGGCCCAGAGCTCAAGACCTGTCCCTCAGCCCCACTTCTGTTTCTGTAGCCCAGGCTAGCCCGGCATGGAGAAGGCAGGCCAAGCTGACTTGGAACTTGTGGCAATCAATCCTCTTGCCTCATTCCCTCATTCCGGAGTGCTACGATCACAGGCATGCGCCACATGTGTTTCACGAAAATGGGAAGGGGGCCTCTGGGAGGCCCCCAGTGCCAGACAGAGCTAACCGAGGGGAAGGACGGTTCACTGCTCCCGGTGTCACCGGGACACTGGTGTGATAGATGTGGCGGGGTGATGGGTGCTGGTGACCACTCATGCAAAAGGGCCTCCTGCAGAGGCGCCCCCTGAACCCCGTTTCCAGCCCCCAGCCCCTCAGTGCCTGCGCCTAAGCGCGCTGTGCCCCTCTGGAGCCCGCTGCTCACTCTCTATGATGGCGTTCTGGATGAGGCGCACTTGCTCCCGGAAGATGGCCCGCAGCTCATTGGGGAAATACCCTGATGTGGGAGTCACAGCAGAGTGGTCACGCTCGGGCGCCCGGTGGCCCCCACCGGCCCTGCCTCAGTTTCCCTGCTTTACCTGGGAAGTACATCTTCCCCTGGTACAGCTGGTCCATCCTCTGGTACACGGCTCCTGCCACTTGCTCCAGCTTCTCCCGGGCTGAGGGCGGGGGGGGGGGAGAGGAAGCAGATGAGCTGCCCAGCCCGGGGTCCCGGCTGCTGGTCTCCGGACCCTGGGACGGGCTCCGCCGCTCACTGATCTCGGCGGGGATGGCCAGGTGTAGCTCCTTCATCGTGTTCTGGCTCCACTCGGTGAGCAGCACTCCCGACACGGGGATGTCGCCCACCCACCAGGACTTAAGGTTCACGTGGTGGCGGTAGAAGGAGAACTTCTCCGAGAATTTGGGGTCACAGTGCAGGCAGCCCCGGGCCAGCGCCGCTGTCATGCCCAGGCACAGCAGCAACGCCATGGCCTGGCCCGGCCCGCAGTGCCCATCCATCGGCGCCGCCAGCGCCGCGCCCTCCAGCCG